CAACGCTACTATTTTGTTACGTTTTGTTCCAAAAATGTTGCATGTCTCTGGGGAGTTGCTTAATTGTTATATCTTATGGAGTTGTATGGTTTGATTGTGTTTCATATAATTCTCAGTTTACTCCATGAACTTGCCAAGATTAAGAAACGGCAAAAGAGTTTGGGTGTTCTAAACAAGATTTCAGAACGTTGCAGAAGTTAGAAGAGCTTCACAATTCCGTTGTGACAGCATGCCCTAATTCAGAACTACGAACGATCCAATGACGATCCTCCGCGATGCAGTGGTCTCATGAAATAAGGAAACGTATTCGTGCTAGGAACACACGCGAATTTCGGACGAATGAATCTTGCTTGTATTTTGTAGATATAATAATACTTTGTTTCATAATAAACAATTTGTCAAGTGTCATTTATTTACTGGTAATAGTGCATGTTTCAGTCGGGCAAATCTTGATTAATATTTGATACGCCGATTTTGCATATTTCAGACACATCCAGAAATATCCTCCCGAATTTAAAGATTAATATCTTCGTGAATTTTTAAGTGAAATACAACTGTAATATATCAAAGTCTAAGTTAGTCCTTCCTCTATTTGATGCAAGTTATTTCTCTTTAAAAGCTATACTTGTTTAGATGTTATTACGAATCAAACAGGAGTACTTTTTTTTGGGCCACCCGGTATGATTTCAGACCTCACAGGAACAGCTCATGTGAAAGGTCTGGAATTGTATATAACCTTTCGACAAAAACCTTCAAGTTCTTTGGAGCAAATGCCCCAAAATCTCGATATTTGTAGCTTTAATATACATCAGTCACTCTCGTATACAAAACACGTGATTCTTGTGACTGGCGTTTTTTATATATTCCATATACTGCATGTAGAGCTTTTGATACGTTGGGCCATAGCCTATCGAAGAGAAGATGGCTGTGAAACTCATTAGAATAACAATATATAGAGGATATTACACGGAAGATATTGTGCGAAGATATGACTTTTATCTTCGAGTGGTGAAAACAATATTTTACGAACGAGCGCGGCGAGTGAGTAAAATATTGTTTTTATCACGAGAAGATGAAAGTCATATCTTCAAGCCACCGTGTAATGTTCTGTTTATTATATAGTCCCAAGCAAAAAATTGTATAAATACTAAAAGTCACGTGATCGATATCTTCACTAGTGAAGATATGGAAAATATGTCACTGTGTATTTCTCAGTATTTCACTCTCTGCTATGTAATAAAATTCATCATCTATGTTGGTCAACGTTTATTTATAAATCTGGTCTTTCACCGTCACGTGTCTATTGTATTTTTGCCAAATCCACCATTTCCAATTTCCCTATTGTTCGAGTCGTGGATAGGTGACTTTTCTAAAACATTGCTATTGGTTAGTTGGGCAAAAATACAATACGCACGTGACGGTGAAGGACCAGATTTATGAATAAACGTTGGCTAACATAGACAATGAGTTATATTGTTATTCTAATGAGTTTCACAACCATCTTCCCTTCGATAGTCTATGGTTGGGCGGAAATCTTAATTTAATTTTTTTACCACATATATACTTTATAAAATTATTAATTGTAATAATTCGCCGCATATAATGACTTGTCATGCCTTGAAAATTTCGGAACCTACTGGGGCACTTCTGGGTTTGTACTGAGTTTTCTATTAGGGAACTTTAGATTCGCTACGGCTACTAAATCTGGTACGACCACGAGATTTTTCCCGTTAAATATCTGCTACTACAGACTTTTTATCGTCTTTTCTCTTGCATACCACATCTTTATAGCAACAGTTGCGCCAAACCACGTACTATTGTAAGTTTTTAGTAGCTGATATTTGATGGAAAAAATCTCGTAGTCGTACTAGATTTCGTAGCTGTAGCGAATCTAAAGTTCCCTATTTACCCCCTGGGTACGGGGGCGTATTAGAACGGGAGATGGCTAAATGGAGGCTCGTTGCTAAATAAATTTAACGTTCTTTGACAAAAAAACATAATTCACACTTTGGGTACATAGCCTCGTTTCCGTGTATGTGTCATTAGTTAAAGCGCAACCTCTCGATCACGAGGATCCATAGCCAAGGTGTCGTCATTCTGGAAGCGTGTATCAGGGCTCTGATAGAGACTGGGGGCTAAATAGGTTATATACTGATAGAATTAAGTATGGTTATAATTGTAAATAAATATTCCCTCCTAGTTTTGAATCAATCACACAAGAGTCTGTATTTATTAACTTACTTTTTATTTTGTTTGCTCTGCGAATGCAACATATAGAACTGTGTATTTAAAACATCAACTACGACCAAATATTGGAGTCACAAAATAAATCTAAACTTTCTTAACAGAATATCAACTAAATCCCTCTTCAAATAACCTCACGGCATCTGTTCATGTGAGCTTGATAGCAAGTTGAAGGACAAGGCTACTTCAATAGAAGCGATTGCCAAAACACAACGATTGGAAAATAGGACATGTCTCTATTAATAATTCATGCGCGATTACCTGTCCCCGAAAAAGTGACACTGTAGAAATTATTCTATTGTTGTTAAGCACAGAATTTCATGCGCCTGGTAATTAAAAATTCAATTGTGTTTACTCACTCTTGTGTTTACGCATAGTGCTCAGGCATTCAAATTATAACAATAGGATAATTTCTATAGTGTCCCTGTATAATAAGTCAATTCAGAGTTTCCAAATGACACGTGGATAAATTGGAAGATTTCAAATTTTAATCAAGCGCACATTTGGTTCGCTCTAAATGCTGGTACAAAAATGATTTAAACTATCAACAGCGTGTCCCGAAACAAATGCAATAAGTATGTTCCATATTTTTACACAGTCAAATACCGGTGGATATCGAAGATATTACGGCTGTTTGAAAATAAAGTCTGGCTCACCTATTAAAATCATGCATCAGTTGTTTTAACAATCAATCAATAGATAGATAGATATTATTTATACAAGGTAATTCCTTCAGTGTAAAAACACTGGTATCAGTGGAGCCCCTGAAGGTTTGACGACCCCTTATTTAAACAGCCATTCTACTAGAACAATAATCTTAGTTTCAAAATTAATTTCTTGCATTCAATGTTCGATGCTCACTAATAATTCGCTATGTAAAAATCTGGAAAATAGCTATTGCATTCTTTTCTGGACTGTACAGAATATACCATATCCCCTTGTAACCGAGTTTTGCCGTAAACCTTAATCTATCGTGCTCACATGAACAAACCGTCATCTACAACAAACCATTCTTCGCCTTCGGGATGAACACAGAACCATTGGTGACGTCATCATGCTCTGTGAGGGGCGGTGGGGGTGAATGGTGGGTACCGTAGGATGTATCACCATTGGCACTGAGGGGCATTACCGCCATCACCTCAGCAATCTTCGCTTTCAGACTGATAATCTCTTGCTCCTTGTTGATGAGTTGACTTTGCGCGATCTCCAAATGTCGTCGTGTTTCGCCAAGTGCAGAGAAAAGATCCAGCTTCAATCTAGTCTCCGAGCTAAGACTGTTCTCCAAGTGCGTATTCTTGCCTTTGATCTGAGCTAGAGTAGATAAGAGCGCTTCGGTTTCCTTCCTAAGCTGTATGCTATCATTCTCATTCGTCTTCGCCTTGAGGTTTTCAATTTCTCTCTCCAGTGACCGAATTCGTTCATCCTTCTCGCCAACTCGTTCACGTTGTTGCCGCATGTCATCTTCTAGTTCCAGTCTCCGCGCATTACAGTGTTCGTGAATCGCCGTCTCTTCGCGGGATTGTCGGAACTCGTCGGCTTTCGCTTTCTTTCGTTCCTCGCGAAGTTGGGACTCGGTCAGTTGTCGGGCGTCGCGTTCAGACTTCAGCTTTCGTTCCAAAGTCGCAATGGCGTTACGATCTTGCTGGCGTGTTGTGGTCATCGTTTGGATCCTTGAGAAAAGATATTGTTTCGTCAATTCAATGAAGTTATAAATGTAGTTAAATATATGAACCTCAATTGACTGAAACATGGCTAGGAAACAATGTTTCCTGGTTTGTCCATCTTTGAGAAACATGGCTAGGAAACAATGTTTCCTGGTTTGTCCACCTTTGAGAAACATGGCTAAGAAACAATGTTTCCTGGTTTGCCCACCTTTGAGAAACATGGCTAGGAAACAATGTTTCCTGGTTTGCCCACCTTTGAGAAACATGGCTAGGAAACAATGTTTTCTGGTTTGTTCACCTTCAGGAAACATGGCTAGGAAACAATGTTTCCTGGTTTGTCCACCTTCAGGAAACATGGCTAGGAAACAATGTTTCCTGGTTTGTCCACCTTCAGGAAACATGGCTAGGAAACAATGTTTGATCCTGGTTTGTCCACCTTTGGGAAACATGGCTAGGAAACAATGTTTCCTGGTTTGTTCACCTTTGGGAAACATGGCTAGGAAACAATGTTTCCTGGTTTGTCCACCTTTGGGAAACATGGCTAGGAAACAATCTGTCCTACATTAGGTACTTACTTTTGTTGATATATTTCGTTATCATTCTTCAACTGATGAACTTCAGACTTGAGAGATCTTTCATTAGAAGTAACAGTCTGTAGTTGTGAACGAAATTCTTGTTCATGCTGACGACTGTTCTGTAAATCCTGCTTAACGCGTTTCAGTTCACTCTCCGTGTGGTTGAGCGTGTTCTCTGAACGACGTCTAAACGAACATTGAAATAGAATTAGATTTCATGACATTTTCGTCTGATGTATGTGAACGAATGGATGATTTATGAATGTTCAGACGAGAGTACATATATGCAGAACATTCATCATTCATATGCTCGTTCCCATGCACTAAAAATCGCAGCAAAAGAAGAAAATTTTAGAGAGACCTGACAAAGCTATCTAATATATAAGTTAAGGTAGTTCATTTTAATTCCGTTCACTTGATATGTTTAGCATAATCTGCCATATTTTAGCCACTAACATTTCGTGTCTACTACTGTATATAGTTGTACACAATATTATTATTATATACTACAGGTTAAAATATTTTCACGATGATTATTTGTGTACAATACCTAGCAGTCTTCTCTTCTTTAAGTTGAGTTAACAAGGAAGGGTTGATGTCACCAACTACGGAACGATATTTTGTTTCCTGTAAGAAAAAAATGTTATAGAGCATTAAATCTGACCTTTTAAGACCCGTTCTACCCACTTTAACTCAGCTTAATTTATCTCTGGACAAGCGATTTACAATTGTGTTGGTTGTCTTTACTCCAGTAAATGAGGCCAAGAGACTCGCAACAAGTTGTTCCATCGTCTGTATGTAACAAGTTGATGACAACAAGCTCATAGCAACTTGTTACGAACAGCCTGTATTAGTCTTGTTGGAACAACTTGTAGCAAGTCTGTTACTGTCATCAACCTTGTAACAAGATGATAAGAACTTGTTCCAGACTTGTCACAACAACTGGGAACAAGCAGTACGAACACATCCTGATATCGGCTTCACAACAACCTTGCTTACAACTTGTTTCCAGATCTGGAACAACTTGTATGTTTTTACCTGTGTACGACTGGTTTCATATTTATTCTTACAGTGCAGAGTACAATGAATCTTCTTGTTTCTAGAGGGCTATACCTGTGCAGTTTTATTCTGATTCTCCTTCTTACTGCTACCAGGACCACTTGAGGTTGATGTATTAGAAGAGTCGCCACTATCCGAGTCCTCGTAATCTCCGTTAGGAACTCGCAACGGACTGCTCCTCTTTCCTCCATTGAAATTACGCCCTACATGACCATTAACTAAACGTCCGTCTTGTTCACTCTTATTTTCAAGTTCGTTTAAGTTATGATCTTCGTTGAGTTTCTTGGACGAAGAAGCTGTTGTAACTTTAACGTTATTTCTAGTTGTTTTTTCACTGCTAACAGTTTTGCCATTCTCATGACTATATAATAGTTCATTGTTTGATTTATTGACAACACCATTGCTCAGGGTTTGACAACTAGACTTCCTCGCTGGTGGACTGCTCTCTTCGGGAATCTTATCAATCGCATTTCCTGAAAGCATGGTAAAATGTGATAACGCTTTTAGATCTGGTTAAATCTTGGTGTCGTGGTTCTTGTAATTTCTATGAAATGAATGTATGAAATAAAGTACCTTTCGCATTGTTTTCCAATTGTTCTGAAGGTAGTGATTGATTTATTAACTCCATATAAAATTCATTCTCTTTGCTAACTCGCTGAATTTTATGCTACAAGAAAGTTTGCATGTATACAAATAGAATAAGTATTGCAGTTTTTTTAGCACACAATCAGATTTTTCTAACACAGGGAAAGAGCAAAAAAATGCAGATTAGAGAGGTGTCTGTATTAGAGAGGTGTCCCCATATTAGAGAGGTGTCTGTATTAGAGAGGTGTCCCCATATTAGAGAGGTGTCTGTATTAGAGAGGTGTCCCCATATTAGAGAGGTGTCTGTATTAGAGAGGTGTCTGTATTAGAGAGGTGTCCCCATATTAGAGGGGTGTCTGTATTAGAGAGGTGTCCCCATATATATTAGAGAGGTGCCCACATTAGATAGGTGTCTGTATTAGAGAGGTGCCCAGTTAGAGAGGTGTCTGTTTAGAGAAGTGTTCCCATATTAGAGAATAGAGAAGTATCACCACTATAGAGGTTGACTGTTTCCAAAAATCTCAAACTAACAAGTATTTTACCAACCTGTCGAATTTTATACCCTACATAACTTTTAACGCCGTAACCCAGGGTGACCACTGGATAGCCGATACTAAAATACAGAATGAGAAGGTCAGTACAATATTGAAATGTTCACGTAATTTTGATAATAAACATGGCAGACTATTAAATCTTTGAGTGCACCTGTTTACAGAAATGGCATATTTGCCCTTCTTTTGTGGTAAAAATGAAATTAAGTGATTTTAGAAGAAACAAAAACGTTTCAAGGCTTAGTAAGTACAAGGAACACAAGGAAAAATATTTGAAAAGAACAACCCAGATAGGAATTGAACCTGGCCACATGTGCATTTCTATTCCGTAGCTGTACTGATAGACAACTGAGAACCACTACAAGATTAGGGGAAATGTCATGCCTATATTCAGGTGCTTGTCAAAACTTCCAAAAAAAACAAACTTTGAGTTATCTGGACACGTTTTTCAATCACAAAAATGTTTGAAATGCTTAGTTCTTGGTTTCCAAATGTATGTGTGTTAAAGCTGGATAAAAACGTGGAGAGTTTTGCATCATACTGTAGAGTATTAATGAGAAGTCGGACTGTCTGGCCATGGGCGTTGTTATCCCATTGTTGGCTTTCAGTAGCAGATGGGGTCAATATTGACACAAGAGAATTAAACTACACTCCAATTCCATTCATTTGCAAATACAAGACTACTACATATAATGAAAAGAATGAACATTATTTTCTCACTCTGATAACAGGTTGACCACTATCTGCCAAATGTAACCCCAGCTGTTACGGTAGACCACAACATGCCCTTGTTCTGCCTACTTCATTAGTTTGATTTTTATCGTCAGGCATTAAGAGGCTAACAAGGTCCATGGGCCTCATAAACATATCAATGTACAACACTATCCCGTCATATTTAAAGTAAGAGTGTAATGCAGCTTAATAGACAAACGAGAGGTATGAACAGACACTCTATTTGACGCATTAAAGCCTGACACTTTTCCCTTAACAAGTAGAATCATCTATCCGAATAAAATAACAAAGTACGGTGCATTAGGGCACATTGTGACTTAATGGGTTAACTGCCGTATTGAACAACTGTCAAAATGCATACGCACACAAAATAAAGTAATGGAAAGCAGGTTTTAAATGCAATAAACATTAAATATTGAAAGTCTTATACATTCAAAAGAAAAAATTAACAACCTCAGCAAATCAGCTGTCTTGAATAAATTAAAAATGTTTTTAACATTTCATACATGCATTGTCTGTGTTGTAAATCCTTCTAAAATCCACTATGTTTTAAAAACCATTGTGGAAATGTGATTATTGGGTTTTGAATGGTAAAATTTGAAAAATTAAGCTCGGCAGCAAAAGGCTGTGAACGGTTTATTGAAATTACTAAACATGTTATTTAGAATGTTAATATTTAAAGTACAGTACCAATGAGCTGCGAAAGGTCGACATAAATCCAAGTGGAATGGCAGGTTTTTTAGCTCTTTTAAGCGAACGGATGCCTCGACGTATATAAATAATAACCACATAGAAATCGTCGGTAATCCTAGCCCGCGATCTACAAGGAAAGTAGCGAAATATAATTATAACAACAAGACAAGTGAAGCGAATCATGAAATAATGTAAACATATCACACCACTTGGTCGCCACAAAGAAAGACTTCAATAGCCAAAACCGCAACAAATTGTATTAAAGAAGGGTTTTACTTCACCTGTATGCCAGACGAATTGTACCCAGACATAAGTACTCGCTGCAAAAAATAGCCAGTGAATCGGTAACACCATCAGACACACAACATCAGAACATAAGGCCAGCCCAAGGAACAGCAAAGAGAACACCTTTTAAAAATAGCAAAAATACAAGCGATGAGGGTTTTAAGTTGCTGGGAATAGTTTAAAGAAACGGCAGAATACCACTCGGTACTTTTCAGATGAAAATAAAGTCTATTATTACCAATCCTTGATATTTAAACGAGTCGTAAGCGCTTCGCATCAACAGCCAAAAAGGCCACAAATACTCGAAGCGAAACTCGAGTAAAAAGTCCGCTGTAAGTACAAGAATCCACACGGCGAAGAATTTCACGTAGATGAACAAACTAGGAAAGGAATAAACAGATTAAATCAGGCTTTATGATACAACAATGCAAGAGATCAGACAAAAATAATCTCTCCAATTTCTTTTTTATTAAAATAATGTTGGAGAACACGTTTGTTGCTCGGCCGCCATTTCTCACCTGCCATAAACAGATTCGGTTATTTTCGACCGTTTCAAAGGCCTTCGGAGTTTGGAGGTATCGATACGTCGCTTGATAGTCATAATCCAATCATGAAACGATGAAATGCAGTGTTTTTTCGATAAAATATTATGAGAAAAATCTATTTTGAAATGATAGAGATCAACAGTTTATATATGACATGTCCACAAAACAAACTGCGCGTGCGTGGGACTAGCGTGACCGCGCGTTTTATGTTAAGACTGGGGAGAATTTCTAGAAATTTATTTATAACATTATTTTTTAATGATTATTTATCTTTTTTTATTTCTATGATTAGCGTGATTTTTACTAGAAAAGATATTTGAGATAGTTAGTCAATTATTTCATATGTAACATTTGAAGAGATTTCAATTTACTGTACGTTCATACGTGTATGAAATTGTATGAAAAGCGTTTAAACTAAATCTCTAAATTCCATTTCTCTGCTAGCAAATAAATTACAACCACATAGAATGAAAAGGATTAAAAGAATCAACATCGTTTATTAAAACTACGCTTTGTTGGTCCACTCCAGTGGTCAAGCGCATATTGAGATCAGTGAACGAACCCTAAAATTGTCCGGCGGAATAATAAATAGGCTGATGCAGGTTAGATGGACTTTGGAGCGCACAACAAATGCACGTGCTGTTGTTATGGTTCGAATCAAAGACTGTTCATTCGGTCACGCTATATATATGATAGTAGATAGCGTTTAACTTTGTTTGCCTGAAAAATAAACTAAATTTATTATTTACAGGCTGAAAATTATGGCTTCCGATACAGACTGTTATGAATTTCCTAAAGAAGCTGGCTTGTATTCTCCTGACTACGAGAAAGCCGCTTGTGGAGTCGGTTTTATAGTCAATATAAATGGCGCGCGAAATAATGAGGTATTGTTGTTTAATATCGGCGGTTTCTCTGTGTTGTAATAGGAATTTTATAGTCTTTTTTATGTTTTTATTACGTCTTGAAATAGCTGTTTTAACGTAGGTCTAGTGTAGACGGCTGTTGTGTATAAAGTATTATATTTTGTGCTGCAAAAGCGCTTTTGAATTTATAGTTGACAGCTGGCGCGATATTACTTTGAAAATATATTAAGCCGTCGCTTGAAATGCCGAGGTTCTCCTTGTATTTTTTAGGGAGTTTGTATCTTTTTCAATGCACAGCTTTCGTATTATCGTCGTGACCTACAATGGCACAGAACCGTTCTTTTAAATAAGTCGAATTTAACAGTGAATTCTGTTTGTAGTATTTGAATGAAATGGCAGTTAACACAGTGAATTAAATATTTGCATAAACGTGCTTTGTTTTGGAGCTATTAAACAGTCATTTAAATGGCTTTTTATGTCAGAAAATACTTGCTTAATTAAAACATAAAGCTATTGTGAATGGCTTTAGTATGTAAAGTGTTTATTTTGGGGAAAAATGCATTCAAAACAGTCAAATTTTGAAAAGTACGAGTGCATAAAAATGAGACCTTTTTATAACTATTGAAAATGAAACGGGAGTCACTCAGGGGAAAATCCTGAAGTCATAAGGTCACAGTTTTGTGAGAAAACGATATATTTTGATTATTTTTAATCTTTTTCCCATCGGAAGGAGCGAGTTCTTTCCCACTGAAAACCATATGGTGTTTATATAAATGCAATACAAAACAAACCATAAACTAAGATTCTTGAAGTTTCAAATTGAAACGAGAAAAAGACTTCGCTTTGCCTGTATTTAAATTTCTGTTCTTCGTTGTTTGCGGTTGAAAAAAAGCAAAAGCAAAGTTTGTACAAGACAATTATGGTCAGCACTTGTTTCCAACTACCAAACTGACATGACGTCATTTTCGGAAGATGGAAGGGGTGTTAAATGGCTATGTAACTAGCCCAAACCCCACCCCTATTCTAACCTCTAACCCTAACCGCAACCCTAACTCTAACCCTAACCAAATTAATGAAAAAATCCAAAAAGAAACAACTTTAGAAATTGATCAAATGACGTAATGTCAGTTTGGTAGATGGAAACAAGTGAAAACCGACAATTATGAGCTGTGTACTTAATAATACTGTATCAGTATTAATGATATGTAATTTAATTCATTTGCCAATGAACCGTGTAATTGACTTATTGAAAACAAATTATTAAATATTTAAAAGACACTTCAGTTTCTGTTAGCTTGTGCACAGACTGTATATGCTGTAATACATAACACAATTTAAAACTGTATTAAACATGACCTTAAGTGTATTTTAAAGACTGTATTACAGCATTATACAGTCTGTACTCAAGTATCACTGTAGACTGTATTTAATACAGCATTATACAAGTCTGTACTGTTTATGTCAACATAACAGACTGCAGAGTTTTGCTGTTTTCAATGAGATCTTGGGGGCAGAAAAGCTATTAAATCTAGGTGTGAGCACATTCCTGGGGTAGCCAAGAGGTAGTCAAGGGAACCTTCGTTGACCAAATGAACCAAACTAGCCACTAACACAATTCAAAGTAAACATAGCAAGAAATATATTCATAAGTAAAATTAGGTTAGGGGTGGAACATTATTAGGTACCCTGGGAGGGGGGGGGGGTCTTTTTTGGGCTTTATCAAACTTTTTTTCATAGTGTAGAAAGTGTTCAGGAATCTTTCTCTATATATTTCTGTGTATTCCATGTAATTGCATGAATTTTTTTCAAATAATTTCCACTCTTTGCATGAATTTCTTTTGGGGATCTGCCCCAGTGTATTAATGGATTCTTGGAGGGGGCGTGGGTGTGTACCTCAGCCATTATTGGCAAAGGGGATG